TTTTTGCCAAGACAATTCAACGCTACAATTCATTGCTAATATCCAATAATTTACTTCAACCTTTGGTCATGGATGCCATAAAAGTGTTGGCGGCTGGCTTGTTGATGGCTGCCCGCATCTGTTTGAATGAGTGTGTGTGGAAATAACTGTAAGCGTACGAAATGCAGCAACCAAATGCCAATAACTGCAGCCGCAGCAGCACAACAACAATATGAATTACAAATATGTATGGTATGTATGTATGGGTGTGTGTGTGTATGTGGTGGCGCTGGTGGATGCACACGAATCAATGGTGCATTAAAAATGGAGAAAATCCAGTACTGCTACGCGCAACATAAGGCAAGCACAACAACAAGGCAACAACATCGAAGCGCAAATATTACAACTGTCATAGAGATGCTTTGAATGTACAACAAAAACATGCATACTCACATATTTATTTATGTACATGTATGTAGGTATATACATATGTATGCTTAAATATATGTATATATGCATGTGTTAGTATGTATGTGTGTTTTTGCGTTCGCCAATAACCACAACAATGGAATTTAATAGTTAAAGTATATTTGCTTGCGGTCGTCACACCGTTGCCGCAAACACACACACACGCACTCAACTGTGTAATGCCAGCAATGTAGTTATGGCCTCAGCTGAGGCGATGCTGATTACTTTGGCAATGGCATTGCTGTTATTTGCTAGTGGCAATAGCTATCAAAAGTGCATTGCAAATAAAGCAAAAACAAGTCGAAATAAGTGAAGACTGTAATAGAGGAGCAGAGTGAGCGCGCGGCAGCAACGTAAGAAATATTGTCACCAATGGCCAGACACATAGCAGACGAAGAAACGCACTTTTCAGTTGCCAATGCTGTTGGTTTTTGTTGGTATGTTGCCTGCTGTCACAGTTGGTAGCCGGCTATGGAATTGCACCCGCATGAGCGCTTTAAAAGTTATAGATTACCGTTAGCTGTTTTGGTTAGAGGCTACTGTATGAAATGTTTTATTACTGGGAGACTACTTTACTATGCAGCTTTTTTTCGTGATGAAATATGAAATGTTGTTGTATACTACTTTTTTCGACTAACAGTATATGGAAAATTTTGCTTTGCAGTTATGAATCTGAGCAACCATTATGGGTTTGGAAAGAAAGCCTTCAAAAATTGTTTTGAATTTAGCGGCTTATATCTTACATCACACATGAGTGCTTTAAGGTATATTAACTTGCGATAAACATATTAATATCGAGAAGGAAACGTCGGGGACACTATAAAGTATATACTTATATACAAATGATCGCTTGGCGAACTGATTCGTTTTAGCGGTGTCTGTCTGAAGCGAATTAGTCGCACGGTTTTTGATATATCGATCTGAAATTTTGCACCTATCGATATCGGACCACTATAGTATAAAGCTGTCATATAAACTGATTGATTAAGATCAAGTTATTATATTGTAAAATTTTTTATCTGACAAGACATCTTCACGAAATTTGCCATGGGTTACTTTCCAAGGCTATAGCATATAGCTGCCCTACAAACTGACCGTTCAAAATAAGAAATGCGCCCGTGGAGAGTATTATAGTTTCGGTGCACCTAAGTCAACACATTTTCTTGTTTTCTCTATTATTTATATTAAATATATAATTTTCTTATTTTCTTCTATTATAATTATTATTTTTATGTGCCAGAAATGAAATTTATATACAACCCTTTCCTATGCATAGGATACTACTCTCTTTTCATTGTCATATTTATTTGTTTTAATACATTTTTTTTAATTTTGAAGTTTCCAGTTCATTGTCAAGATATGAAAATATAAAACTTTTAAGATTCTATTTCTCACATTTTTCATTTAATTTGTGAACACAAACTTTAAAGTAACTTTCGCAACCCTTTCGATAAGCGCTTCATTGACAGAATTTCAAAGTATCATTAAATGCAATGACTTTTGTTGCAACAGCCACAGTGTAAGCTGACAACTTTCAATGTCGAGTAAGCAGCTAACACAAAGAAGCACGACGTAAAGCAACAATAAAATTGAGTAAAATTGAGAAAAAAATTTCAACGAGAAAATTAAACGAAAGCAAACTTTATTTTATTCTGCGTATTTATGGCTAGAATAATAAGAAAAATTAAAAACAAAAATTTATAGTGAATATTAAGAGATGGAAAAATAGCTTGATAATAAAATTTAATTTAATTAAATAGTTTACGGCTACCTGCGGCAGAAAATTTTAATAATGCGGGCAGCAATGCATTAAAACTTTTTTAATCAAATGGTTTAGTGAAACTTTTTAACCAAAGTAAACTTTTCTTAAATGCATTAGGCTTTTCATTAAGAAACCATCAGCGGTCAGTAGGAGGGGATAATCATGTTGAAGGGCGTTGTAAGCAAGTTGAGTGCCTTGTCATGTCAAGATGTCAAGACAAAACCGGACTTTCTAAACAAAAAAAAAAATAAAATACAAGGCAAACAGGGCATTGTGAAGAAATAAAAACATTTTTTTACATACAATATACAATATTTGGTTCAAGAAATCATTTTAAAGTGCTTTCATTGCAAAAATTTAATTTTAGAAAATTAATTTTTTTATTTTAGATTATTTTTTAAACATTATATAATAAGAAAAATATTTATTAACTATAGTTGTTGCTATATTATCACTTTCATTTTTTTGTCTAACAAATATTTTATTCTTCGTGGAAATCTTTTTCTTATCAATTTGTAGCATTTCTAAATTAAATTTACTAGTGAAAGAAGTGGTTGAGTAACACACTTTTTCGACTTATTCAAAAAATTCTGCATAAAATGCAATCAAACTTCCATTTTCTGTACCACAATAGAATTTGTAACAGAAATAAGCAAAAAACAAAAAAACAAAAACCAAAAAGCTACCATGCATGCATGAGTTTTGTGCTTCATTGCGTACAAAAAAAAAACTGAATTGGTATGCGCATCGAAATAGTGTACTTTTTAGCGACAACAGACAACTTTTTGTACGTTTTTTTTCAGTGTTTTATTTTAATGATATATCGAAGAATTAAAAAAGTGAAAAAAATTTGCTTCAATAAAAGTATGTATGCGAAAAGTATTTGCAAACTGTTAAGTAAAATAGTTAAAATCACTAAAAATCTGCAGCCAAACAATTAAAAGTTCAAAAGAAAGGCGAAATATGCTGGCAAACATTGTTAAACACTTACACAGGGATAAAATAGAGAAAGAAATGAGGAACTTACAACTAAACGACTGTCTGTTCTACGCGAAAATTACATTTTTTTAACTTCTGTTGGTGAATCGAAGTTTTGTCGGCAATTTTAATGGCATGACAGTGACAATGTGATTTTAATTGACACAAAGGAATCAATGAAAACTAAAAATCAATGTGATTTAAAAAAATTAAGTGTCTAAATTGCGAACAAAAGCCGAGGGAAATTATTTTTTACGACACGGCTGTTGAATAAGTAATTGAATGTTAAAAAGGAAATGGCAAAGTAAAATTTTATAGTAATGCCTAAAAGTGAGCTACGAATATAAAATAAATTGTAATAAAGTAAAGTCGCTGACAGTTTCCGATCGTGTGTTTAAATAGTTTGTACAAAAGAATAAATAATACAATAAATACAATTTTAAAACAATCAATATATATATAAAACAATATTTTTTCATAAAAGAATTTCTTTAAATGCAACAAGCGTTGTAAAAGATAGTATTGAAATTTTTGCTCAAGCTCATAAAAATTTGTAAAAAAAAATTATAATTTTGTGAAAAAATATTTTTGTGTAGAAACATAAATTCAATTTAAATTGCATACAAAAAGAAAAAAATATAATTTAAATTTTTTATATTTTCTAAACATATAGAAGGCATCTCCTGTACACGCTGAAGTCGTTAGCAGATATATGTATATGCATATTTTTTTATTTTTATTCATATATAAGTGGCGACCACTTATCAACGTAACGCTGTCGCGTTATGCTTAAGATGCGCCTCTTATTTTTTGACTGCCATTTCGTGGTTCCTGATTTTTATGCGAGTACTTTTGCGCATTTGCCAGACACATTTTGGCAGCTTGTCAGAAAAGTTAGCACAAGGACTTATAATATGTATGTAAACTTGTACGTGAATATGTACATGAGGAAGGGAATTTATATGAAAAAGTGGCCGTAATTTTTATGTTGCCTGCGCATCTGTGACTTTTTGTTGACAATCTCTGCTGGCGGAAAACTTTTTCCATACCGAGTTGGTTATCTTAAGTAGGCATTGACAGACAGCAAGTAGACGGTGTTGCCATAAAAAAAAAGTCTTAGGAATATGTCTTATGCTTGTAATGTAAAGCAAAGTGATGACTATGGTGTTGAAAGGTGTGCTTGAAGCTTAAAAAAGTCTGCGAACTTTTACTTGCAAGCATTGTTAGTGATAAGGTGATGAAACAGGTATTTTACGGCCTTATTTTGTGAAGAAAATGTGCATATTTTTATCTTAGCTTGAAGCACTTTAAATTTGTTGTTAATTATTGTAAATATTTTTTTTTTATACTAAAGAAAATAAAGATTTATGCATATAAATATAATAAACTAAATATTTTTATGCAGAAAATTTATTTAAAAAATATTTTTTTAAGCCTGGGTTATGCTTAGCAGTTTCAAAACTGCTTAACTTTACTAAGAATTATCTACAGCCTAAATGTATGCAGCGATTTATTACAAAAAATATACATATGCGTTTGCGTTGTGAGCACATAAATTTAATATAAAATATTTTCACGCGACTTTCTTCACCTTCTCTCTCTATTTTTGCAACTATTAGAATATAATTTATGAATATAGCAAATCAGCGAAGAGTTGTCATCAGTATATAATATTATTTATTATTATAATATATAATATTACTTAAAAATCTATGGAAAATTTACTAGATCGAAAATCTGGAAACTAACGAAAAATCCTGATATTTCAATAATAATGATAAATTATTACTAATATTAAAGTTTAACTACTCACATTTGTTGACAGTTGACTGCTCAAGCTCAGCACCTGTTCACGCGCATCCAATAATTCACGCTTCAAACGACGTATCTCGTTGGCTTGACGCTCCTCAGCTGAACCGTATAACGAACTGCCACCGGAGAGCAATGATGCGGCGCTGCCATGCACTAAAAGTAAATAAAATACACATGTAAATAAATATAATATACACTAATAAACGTCCGTTCAGCATAGTGTCTCATAAAATTCGCCATAAATCACGTGCATACTCACCCTCATCATTCTTCTTGGGATATGTGAGACGATGACCTGCCACACTGGCGTTGGCGCTGCCCGTTGCACCCACCAGGCCAACCATGCCAGACATGCCGGCTGGATGTGTCGGTGAGAGCGTACCACCGAAACCGCGACTAATGGGTGTGGGCGAAGTCGGTTGACTCCAGGCGACGGAGGTGCCACTAGCACCCGCTGTTGGCTGTCCAGTCACCTGTGACATTGCCGCCGCTGCAGCAGCGGCCATTTGAGCTGCCAACGAGCCATTTTGTGCGGTTATTGTGCCCACAGGCAGGCAGTAGTAGGGTTCGATTTCGACATCGGGGCCGCGACTCAACATCGAAGGGTACATTTTTTCCGATTTGGTGGATCTGTGGGTAGAGAATAAAAAAATGTTTATTTTATAATAAAGTGTAATTGTGTGAGTAAATATAATGATAATGTTTGAAAGCACATCAAAAGCTTGATGAAAATTTAAAAGCGCTAAAATAGTTAAGCACGATAGTTGGGTAACCTAATCTAAGCATGTTAGAATAAAGTTTGCAAAATAAGTTATGTAGCGAAAAAAAATCACACTGAAATATTATTATGTATTAATTTTATGAAACTAACTATATGTAACATAAGTAATTGTATATTCAATCTTTTTTTTAATTATGTAAATCATTCATTTGTAAGTGCAATGCAAAAATATTCAAACTCTGAACCTCTAGTAAATATCCATAAACTTCCACATACTTTTATTTGCATTTATTTCATTCTGTCTGCACTCCAGCTATTTTTAGTGAAAATCTTAATTTCCGTTTGTCGCTAACCACAAAATCGGTAAAACACAACTAGCCAATTGAAGTCAAAACAACTCCTAACTCAATAACACATACACAACTACAACCGCACATTACTTCACACGTCTATTGCCTACAAAAACAACAATTTAATCGACGCAAATTGCATAAAACCGTAGTCTGCTTTTAGGTGCACGAAAAATCGTAACACTTTTAGACTCACCACAACGAACTGGTGTTTTCAGAATTGCATTTCCAACACCAGACGATTGCAAATTTCCGCTACGTGCCACTCACTTAATGAAGCGGCGTAGGCGGAAACTTGCATGGTGTTGGTAGCTGGTGTATTGGTGGTTGGTGGGTGGTAATTGAGTGATGTGAGTTATGTTAAATTTTTTTTTATTCTTTTATAGCCGTGGTGGATATATAATACTATAATATTAGGGTAAAATAAAGTAACAAATAATGAATACCTTAGTAAAGGAATGCTAATTTGTAGAAAGAAACGTTAAGGAAGTAGTCAAGCTTTGGCTGAGCAATGTGCAGCGGTTCATTGCATGAAACAGGGAGTTTTGAGGCTGTTCTTTCAGAATGTAAACAAGTTTTAAGTGTATATACGAGTAAAGGAATTTATTAGATCTCGCATAGTTTAACGGTTTTATCAGTCTTGCATGTGTTCGTGTATTAATCACGCGTTAAAGTGAGGGTTGGGTGCTGCTTGTTGTTTTGAATTCGAAAGTGTTTAAGAAAGTATTGTATAAGTGACTTTTTCATCTAAGCCTACATCAGCTAATAATACTCAAGGAAAATTGCTTCATTGCTAACTTATGACTGAACGGAGACTACTGTGGACTTTTTAGAATAATAAATAAATTTGCAATTTGTCGTATTGAATTTTATTGTCAAATCAAGAAGTTTTCTTTCGAATGAGTACAAATGAAGTTTAAAGCCTGTCAAAGTACAGATTTCTAAATTTTTGGGAACTATTGTCGTTTATGGATCGAAATGAAGGCTTCCAGCAAAAAATGTCATAGAAAAAATTGCATTGATAGACCGCACGGATTATAAAACAGCCATAAAATTATAAAAATAATACTTCTTTAACTTTATAAAAAGAAACTGTCGCAATATTTATTTCTATAATTTTTATTCCTATGTATACTCTTCTACTATAAATGTGGAGAATATGACTAAAATATTGGCCGTGTTCGATTCAACATATCTCTGCTCATTTTGCTTTGCTCTGCTGTTAAAAAATTTGCACGTGAAAGCAACAACAAAGATGTACAGTTGATTTCAGTCCAAGCGAGTATGTGAATAACTCATAACACTTTTGTAGCTGATTGGTATTCTTTCTTTCTTTCTTTACTTAATTCGTAATCTAATCGCAAATTCGAATTGTTAAAATAAGTTCATTTTCATAGGCATATACAATATTTATTTATGCATTTTAATTGGTCCTATGGAGAGCAGGTATTGTTTTTAGTTGCTTTACGATATAGCCATATTCTGATCTCAAAATCATGCAAACAGATATGAACGATTGCTGATATATTTTTTTTTTAAATATTTCAGGCACAAAATACTATATACATCTTTACAAATTTATTTAATTTTTTGCTTACTCAATTGCAAAAAAACATTTCTTTTAAAACAAGTTTCTTGTTAAACAACTATTTTATTGATTTTGGTGTGTCAGCTGCAAAGTGCATAGACGATGTTACGCTATTTTGTAATACTTATCAGCTACAACAAATAGAAATATATTAATTATTACAAGTTGTAATTGTGAAAAAAAAGTGTATATTTCAAAAAATAATTTCAAAAGTTGTTAACATTTTACACTGCCATCAAATTTTGTTTCTTTAGAACAAAAACATTTTCTTTGTAAAATAGATTCATAGATATGTGTGTATAGTAATCAAGAGTACACAATAGTCCATATAGAAAGCAAAAGTTTTGAAGCACTTTGATGTTGTTACGATACATTTATCTCAGCGATATCTCTTTTATCAATGCAGCAATGCTGTTATCAGTTAACGGAACAGGTTTGCCAATATTTATCTTTTATTGTGGCATTGAAATTTTTTTTTGCGTTTTTGTAAGGCGGCAAATAGGAATTATTGAACTCAAGTGGGGATTTTATTTGGTAAATAAAGAAGTCTGCCTCTCGCAAATATCGATCGACTATAAATTATCAGAGCGCCGCGATTTCTCGCTTAGTTATGATCGAAGAACTGTCAAGCATCAAACAACTTGAGCAAAAAGAAATTGTGACAGTGCGATAAAGTGTGAAATGTTTTTAAAATTATTTGTGCTCGTTGCACTGGCTGTGGTGTTGCAACAGAATGAATGCGCAAATGCGCAAATTCGAAGTGAGTTCAGAGTTGAGGCGAAAATAAAATGAAATTAAAGCGCAATTTAAAGCGATAAATGAGTTTTTGGGGTATTTTACATTAAAACCAGTCCATTTAAATTAATAATTCTATAATGTGCAAAATACATAGAAATTATTTGTTAGCTCTTGTAAGGATAATCAGCAGAATGGTAAAAAATATATATTTCTACTCAAAAATCTGAAAATTATTATATATAGAAAAATTAAAAAAAATAAATTAATATTACTAAATGGCAATACTGTAGAAGATATTTTATTTTCTAAGTGACTGTGCACAGTTTCTGCGCCTCGAAAAGTCACAACTATAAACAAGTGTTAAATTTTTTTTAACTTTGAAAATTTATTTATTTACGTTGGAAATGTGACGAGGCGCATTAAGGAATTCACTTCACTGGTAAATTAAAAGTTTATAAAAAAAAAATACTTTTAGTAACAAAAAAATATCAAAAAATCAATATAAATGAATAAAAGTTTATTTAACGTTTTTCTTGTGCTATAAAAATATCTCGCAGAGAATATGAGTAGACTATGTTTATTTACCATAGATCAGAGAAGATAATTTTTGGAAAGCACAAAAATCATAGTAGAAAGAAACCCATTGGAAATGAAAAATAAAAACGCAAAAATTAATTTTTAAAGCTCAAAAACGGTTTATCTCGATTTCCGGCAAAACCACGAAAGTTGTAGGAAATAAAAAGGTCTAAAACTTTTGTATCTATAAATTTTCCAAAAATTTATAAAAAATTATTATATCTAAAAAAAAATTTAATTTTCAATCAAACAGTTTCAGGTCAAAATATCAGATCTTTTTGAAGTCAGTAGGCTTTATGTTCATTAAAAGCTTTACTTTCTGATTGCATAAAAAGTAAAATTTCTCATGGAATGCAAAAAACGGAAACCACTAAACGATTACCACCTGCATTTTCATTACACTTACCTATTACCTTTTTCTTCCCGACCTCAGCTCACCCGTAAACAATTTTTCCTTTCATTTTGGTGCTTTTATCTTTCATTTCCTAACCTAACCTACTACGAATTTCTTTTACTTTTTATCATTTCCAAAGGTTTTCTGGTCTACCACTTACTATTTTTTTTCTTTTTATATTTAACTCGCGATCGTTTAATCACACCGAGTTTTCAGAAGTTTTTTCAGAAATGTTAAAAAAACTCCATATATTCATTGGAGGGTTAAAGCGTTGAAAGAAATGTAAATCTTTCAAAAAAGTCCTAACTTAAAATATTTTCTAAAAAAAGAACTTAAACTTTGAACTATTATAAAAAAATTACCACCTGGTAGGGAAGAAAAGTTCAAACTTTGTTAATTGATAATTATAACGTCGTAGAAAATATTTGAAAACTTTTACGCTTGCTAAATTCAAAAGAAAACCATTCAAAAATATCCAAGAAGTATAAAAATTAATAATAAATGCAAATAATCCAATTTGTAGCTAGATAAAACTCTTCTTAATTAGACTTATTCACCTTTACTTATTTAATGATGCTTGCAAACGAGACTATTAAACATAACACTAATACAGCGATATGAAAAAATAATACGATTTTCTTTTATTTTTATTTTAACTTTTTTTGCACTTTAACACTCTATGCACACCGCTTTCCGCGCCTACCTTCTCCCGCAGAGCATGTTGTCTGTTATCACGGCACTTGGGCCACATATCGCCAATCAAGTGGCAAATTCGACGTGAACACCATTGATCCCTTCTTGTGTACACATCTTATGTATGCTTTCTTTGGTATTGAGGAGAGTGGGAATTTGCGCATTATTGATCCATATTTGGATTTGGAGGACAATGGCGGACGCGGCAATATACGTAAATTCAATGCACTCAAGCTACAAAATCCCACGCTGAAAACATTCGCGGCGATCGGCGGTTGGAATGAGGGTTCGGCGAACTTCTCGATTGTAGCAAACGATCCCGAACGGCGAAAGCGATTTGTGCGCACGGTGGTGCAATTTGTACAGCGACATAGTTTCGATGGTGTCGATTTGGATTGGGAATATCCAAATCAGCGACACAATTTGGACTTTGATGACAAAAACAACTTTATAACGCTGCTGCGTGAATTGAAAGAGGGGTGAGTGGGAGCAAAATGTTCATTTAAAATTTTTGTGGGAACATGAAAGACTATAATCTCTTTCAAATCATAACAGTTTGGCTCCTTATGAGTATCTGCTTACTGCCGCTGTAGGCTCCTCAGCCGAATCCGCTTCGAAGTCGTATAATATACCGGAGATCTCCAAGTACTTAGATCTTATAAATGTGATGGCATACGACTTGCATGGCTCATGGGATCCAGTCACTGGCAATAACGCGCCGCTCTATGCAGGGCCCACCGATATTACCGAGAAGAATAAGCAACTGAATTTAGATGCCATTATAAAATACTGGTTAAGCGAAGGTTTGCATGCGAAAGCTTTTAGAAGTTAAAATAAATTTTCAATACAAAATTTGATTGCAGGTGCGCCACGCGAAAAGCTTGTGGTTGGCGTACCGTTCTATGGACGCACCTTCACGCTTTCTGATGCGGAGCAACACACCGTAGGTGCACCACATTTAGGACGTGGCCTTGCCGGCCAATACTCCATCGAACCGGGCTCAATAGGTTATAACGAGTTGTGCGAGCGCATGCAGACCGAACCATGGAAAGAGGAGTGGGATGAGGCGCAAATGACGCCTTACGCATATATGGGACAACAGTGGGTGGGCTTTGAGAATCCGCGCAGCATTGGCCTGAAAGCGCAATATGTGAAGGATAATGACTTGGCCGGCGTGATGTTGTGGTCATTGGAATCTGACGATTTCCGTGGCACTTGTGGTGGCGAGAAATATCCACTCCTACAAACCATCAACCGTGTACTCTACGATGGTCACACCGCAACAGGCCTAACGCAAGCAGTGCTGAATTCGGTGGCAGAAACCATACAGCGGCCAGCGGCGGCTGGTGTTATGGTGTCGTCCGCTGCGCAGCAGCAACAACAACCGATAGTTTTGGATCCGCGTGGCAATGGCGAGTGTGGCAGCGAGGATGAAGGTTATTTGCGTGATGCGCACGACTGTGGCAAGTTCTACTATTGCCAGAGCGGAGTCAGCTATACATTTAATTGTCCACAAAGCTTGCAATTCGATTTAACAACAGGCAGCTGCAACTACGCGCAATTGGTGCGGTGTAAGGGGATTTGAGCATCAACAAAAAAATCGTAGTTACTAATAGGTGTTGTTTAACGGAAATATATGGTATATCTGTATTGTAGACGAATTTAAGTGGTTTTATTTGAATGATTAAATGAGCATAAATATAGGCAGAAATATGCATAAAATTACAAATGTAATATTTATGTGTGTCTATTACTTATACAAATATATACAAATTTTGAATTATTTTTTAAATTATAATTTTTAAATAGTTCTTTGCTTTTTTTGCAACTACTAGCAGGTTTTAATGTATTGTAGTATTATTTATACTTTTTTATAAATATTCCTATCCTGAAATTAAGTTTAACAAATGCCAATAAGGGTAGACCTAAAAAACCTCGAGGTTTTGTTATACAAAAGGCTTCAAAGCTGTCAACGATTTCTTTCTATGTTATTTCTCAAACATATAATTTTTAATTTCCGACTCGAGTTTTACTGCCTCAAAGCCAAAACCTACCCCTTAACCCTTGTCTCTATAACAAAAAATTTGTAAAGAAGCACAAAATTTACTATCTCTCCTAGTTCACTCATGCCGAAGTTTCACTCTTAGTGTTTCAACAGTTTAAGAAATATTTAGTATATAAATACAATATATAGCATAAGTATGTTTGTATGAGAGTAAGCACGTGCACTTGAGATATGCGTGTGAAGCAAATTCTTAGCATACTTTTAGCTGCATGTGTAATTTCCAAGTATTTTGACTTTGAGCGGCGTACAAAATGTATTAGAAGCATTCTTACAAGTAATAACGGTATTCACGAATATGAATTGTAACAATACTTTTGCACTCATGAGAAATATGGAAAGCAGAATAGAATCGTTTAGTGCAGTTTTCTTTTGTATGTTCTGAGAAAGTTTACCATAGTAATGGACTAACATTAGAAAGTAGAAATTTCAACAAACATAATGCCTACTGAATTTTTAAATAGATTTTTTGATTAAAAATTTGCGATTATTCGATTTTTAGTCGAAATAAGACTTCCTCCTGAATATTTTAAATTAAAATAAAAAAAAATACAGTGTATTTTGGACATATAGCAGATAAGTTCACACCACGTTTCGTGAAAGATTTTTTTTTAAAGATAAAAATAAAAAAACCAAAAACTTGCATATTTAATTCTTTCATATCAAATTTGAGGTTATAGGAAACAGGTGCACATACGAAAATTGTAGATCTTTCCATTACCGACAACTTTGCAATATAATTTTTTTCTAAATTACTCGTAGTTTTGCCGGAAATCGAGATGAACCGTTGTTAAGCCTTAAAACTTCAACCACGCCCTTTCTTTCCTCTTCCCGACCGCAGATCGCACGTAAATTATTTTTCGTTTTTGTTTTTGTTATTTGATCTGGCTAATGGGTTTGATCCTACTTTGTTTTCTTTTGCTTTCAAAAATCATCTATCCTGATCTACTTATGTGTGGAGTGAAAGTTCTAAGAATTTTTTTTATTAAAGAAACTTCGATTTTATATATTAATTTTTTTGGATTTGAAGTAAACTAGTTATAAAATTAAAAATCTTGTTATTATCTCTCAAAAAATGTTTTAAGAATATTATATATAATATGTATATATACATATGTATGTTAGACTTGAAGCATATTGCTCTTAATCGTTTGCATATGAACGCCGAATCTGCTTAGAAAAGTAAGTGTTTACAAAATATTTGCGTATTTCTTATACTTGGCGTATATTAAGAATGCTTAGGTACAAAAAGTCTTGTATGAGTAGATAATATTAAAAGAGTGAAAGCTGTAAATATAAATTTACTTATTTTATCTTGTTGGGATATTAGCTAAGATTTATGCGATTATCAGTTTAAGAATATTAATATATGTATATATTAGGGTGGCCAAAAAAAATCGTAGACACCATGAAAATATAGTACGAAATGTCAAAAAACCCTGTTAAAGTGTGAGCCCTCAATACAAGTACTATGATAATATTACCAAGCGTATGATAATTTTTGATTTGCCACATAAATAACACAGGAATATATTTTATTTATTTTTATGTTTAATGCATGTGAACAAATTATTTTTTAAAGAAAATTAACAATTTTCCTTGTAAGGAATTTAACGTCCCACAAAACAGGTACAGTATGATTTTTTTAAGCGGACTCATTCAAGGTTTAAGTGCAATCTTAAATCGTCACAAATACAATAATTAAAATATTTTTTACATAATAATGAGCAAACCCCTTAAATATCTAATTTTTTATGACTTTTGTTGTTTTTACTTCGACTTTAAAATTGTGAAGTACTATAAATTTTTAATAGCATTTAAAGCGCATACAAAGATTAAGGAAGCACTGCTTCAGACAAAAATGAGCAGAATCAAACTAATGCAAACAATAAAGGATTGAGGCGCACTTATAGAATAATAGAAAAATATCGCTTCATCGACAATGACCATATGGTCGGCGCTATAAAAGTCGCACATAGCCACACGCAAACAAATACCAAGCCACTCTGCAACCAACTATGCAATCAGCCACTCAAGCGAAGAGCCAGTGTCCAGCAGACAGTAGCAGTTAACATACATTTTGTTTGTGTAAATACTTGTATTCACAGTTATCAAATTGAAATGTGTGCTGTGTTATGTGTGTTCATCATACGCCCTGCTGACGCTGTTATTCTGTGTGTGTGTGTGTGGCCATGAATGAATGAATGCAGCAGCATTTCATATTTGCATGCAAAATGCTATTAGTGTCAGTATAGTAAACATACATACACAAATAGAAATAAATATATATGTATAGCAATGTGTGTTTATAAAGACAATGAGGTTGTGTGTGTGTGTGTGTGTACTTGGCAGACATCAGACTGGTCATCCGGCGACAGTTGCATCATTTTTGCTGGACGACTGCTAATTTTCTGCTGCCAGTGCGCTGCTTCACATTCACAGTGCTGCGCAATTATTTGTGTTCACACACACGTACACATACATACATATACATTTGTGTATTCATGCACGGAAGCACAGAAGTACATATACATTCATAGCTGCAAAAAGTTTTGCACATCCTTTATGCTTTCTTTCTTTTGTCCGACACTAACTAACTGCTTCATATTCTTTATACAACTTTTATTGCTTGCCATGGCAATTTTGCTGGAAATTATTACCACTAGCAAATTTAAATATGCTTGTAGATACATATATGTATATACACATTCGTAATAATATCCATATTTTTCAGTGACCAACTTATTTACTTGGCAATCAGTACTAAAGACTATAAAAATGCTTTATTTGACGTAGGAATAAATATACGCAGATACGTTAGTATTGTACTCCTTGAATATTGGATTATTTATATACCTACATACATATATAATATATACATACATAAAAATTTGAGCACAACCGAGCAAATGTTGTTAGAATTTAAATTTATGTTAATTTGTACTTTATAGAGACTTCATATACGAAGCGAACTGTCAAACTTTCATAGTAATTGTACAAAAAAAGAACCATATCCTCCTTTCGTTCATGAGACAATGTATTTTTCCGTCAGACACATATCAAACCAAGTAATGGGACGAAGCTGTGTCATTCATTTATATGGAACTGAAATATACAAGTATTCAAGCTTGCAATTTTTAAGCTATTACATAGCTTCTATCGTGGGTTTGGAGCGCGGAGACTGAATTAAGAAATTCCGTAACGGAAATAAATCTTGCACGATCACAAAGTGTGCGCAAAATGTTTGCAAACTTTGAGGCGTATTTTCGCATATTCCAAACAGAATAAATGAATTGAAGAGCAGGGTGATTCAAAAATAATAATATTTATGATACAATTTTTTTAATGGCAAATAAAAATATGGAATTTAATAAAAATTAAATTAAAAAAAATTAAATTAATAAAAATTAAATTAATAAAAAACTAATTTTCAATATTCGAAGTCATAATATTAGTAACATTATTATTATTCTGAAACAGTATCTCGTTTGAATTAAACAATACAATTAAAGTTATGTATTTTAATCGGATTCTCAATGGTAATAAATTTCCACTTATCTTGACGAGCGATTTCAACATCAACTTCAAAATCAGAGCGATTGAACAATTTTCTTTTGGAAAAAGTAATTTGAAAATGAATAATGATCCACAATTAACCACAACAAAATATGCGACCACCATTGACGCGGTATTTTCTAGATATTTAGAGGATATCAAGACTCAAACTTATGTTTCTTATTTTAATTAACTTTATAAATATATTAGCTTCTCATTTATTTAATAAAAGAAAACAATATGTATTCTTATCGGTTTCCACGCTCAAAAAGTGAAAAAGTGTAACTTGAATTAATATCAACAAAAAAAAAAACAATACTGCATAAAAAATAAATAAATAATTACGTATTTTTTTTCTATAAGTATATTCTATTCTGCGATAAAAAATTTTATAACATTTTATCTTAAAATGCAATAAAATAAAAAAAAAGATTTTATATTTAGGTAAGCTATAGTATTAAAAATAACATATTAAACATTTAAATCGATAACCCAACTATTTTTTAAGTTACAGGCTTCTAAAGTGTTAGCCGCTGAGTTCAATCCGCACTATCAGTTTATCTTTAAACGCGCTTTTCTCAAAACTACACATTGAGATAGATGATCCACTCACTATAATTTTTTTTCGCTATTATAAAAATATTTTCAAGTACAGAATTTCTATTTTTTAGGTTTCATCCACGGAGAAGGCCGTGGAACTTTTTTAAGTTGTAACACTGTGTGTGCCCTTTAAATATGTACAAGTATATTTACACAAAAATATCCACCAGGAATCACAACTGCGGCATTTCTGAATATCTTAATCTTACAGTCTTTAAAGCATTTATTTATTTTTATTTTTTCAAAAAAGTAGTTTTTGTAAATACATCTTTTCTGAAAATTTACCTACTCTGCCATCATATGCAGGTTGTAGTCCATCAATACCACCCAATAGGGTTTTGAGGTTTATATAAGCAACCTTCAGAAAAATATATTATTGAGTATGCACATCCTTACTATATATTTATATTTTAAGAACTTTTATAAAAACTATTCATTAATTTTTGTAAAGTTTTACTCAGATTCCGATAACAGCGCCATCTATTTTTTATACAGAGAAAGATGTCTCTAAATGAAAAACTATGGGATACAAGGAATAGAAGAATTCGATATATCTAGTGTAGCACAACTTATTATGACTTAAAAACTTAAATTTTTTAATTTTTCACAAATTGTAGACGATTTGAAACAAAACTAAATTTTTAATTACTTGTCTACAATATTATTAAATATTAAAAATTACATATTAAACAAAATTATTGCAGAAAAAATATTTTGAAAGCGTAAAAAATTAATATTGTAGTATTTTTGTTTTTTTTTTTTAGAAAAAGTTTAAGCAAAAGTTTTTGAATTATATTTTGAATATGTGAAATTATTAATATAATTAATATGTAAAACATGTATGAATTCAAATTTAATTTATTGTTAGTTAATATTCGAATCGAATGAGAAAATGCATTTTTCAAAAATATGCATTTTGAAGTGAAACAAATACTAAGCGTATTCAAGCAAATTTAAACGTAATTATTTTTCACCTTGGATATGTCCGTTCTTTCAAGTAGCTTTAGCGCAGTTAAAAGTTAGAAAAATTATTTATTTAATTATTTTTTAGCAAAAGTTAGGGTGGTAATTAACGGCAGTATAATATACAAATAAAAATATCAAAGTCATAAATTTTCAAAATAATTAAAAAATTAGCAATTTTACTCACCTAATGCTGTTGCTACGATTTAGTCGTGGGCTTTGCACATATGGCGACTCATTGCCCGCACCGGTTGCCGCCGCAACACCAGCACCGCCCGCTTGCTGCATGCCACTGCCCTGCGCTGCTGCAGCTGCCGCCGCTGCTGCAACGGCTGCGGCAGCATTACGATGTTGCAACATTTTATGGCTGTGGCGTGTCATTGCCGGCGAACCGATTTGCATATTCTCCAGCGAATCGCCCTCGGATAGGCGACTGCCCGCAGTGTTGCTGTGCTTCAGCCACATGGCGTATGTGCTGTACTCGGGCTTGACTTCGGCGTAGGTTTGCGTGTCCGAGAGTGAGCCATCGATCATTTTGCCAGGACGATTTGATATTCTGAAAATGGTGAAGAGGCGTATTATATTGTATGTATGGGTATATGTGTACTATCTATGGATTTGTGTGTATGCCGGCATTCAATGCAGCTGTGGATTTAACTTGGTGTTATCGCAATAAATCAGCAAAATTATCATGGTAAATGCATGCAATTAGTAGCATTTAATGGCAGTTAGTTACGAAATAAAGGGTGTCTAAGTATAGCTCCAATTTTCCAATAGAAAAAAGTACGACGAACGTATCTTATAGAAGAGTTTTATTAAAGGGCATTAAAAATATTTGTTTTTGTTTTATCAAACTTTTGATTATTTAATAAAATTTCTTAATGTTCAAAAACGATTGCAAAAATTAAACTACATTGGGAAAAATATTAGTATATGAGACACCCTTTCTAAATCCGACTAGTATGAGGCTTTAAGCATAATTAGCATATGTTGCGTAGACGCATTAGTGGTTGGCGCGGTGCTAGCCTCTTTTCACCATTTTGCTGTCACTTTTTAAACTAGGATAATTTATGAAATACATATATATTATATTAAACAACCCTTTCGCGGTTACTAAATATAAATTTTGTTATTTTCAAAATTGTTCCAATTTTTTATGTTGCTCCTTTCAGTTGCCTCACATCATTGTGAAACTTGTTGGGGCAACTAAAATTAATTACATTAGTAATGCATTAATTTGCACCAGAGCAAACCACAAAATATGTTTTGCTAATGCTTGCCGCATTGCAGTAATTAAATAGCTGTTGAATAGCAGCGTTGAAGTGACGAACAACGTGGTTATTATTTTACTAATTAATAGAAAACTTTAAAGTAGATATTGGAAAATAAAGTGTTTACTGAGGTCCATGAATAGTTTTGAAAATTATTTAAATGTTTTGTTTTTCAGAAGAGATTTTTATATTTAATAAAAAGGGGATCAGAAGCCAGGAATAAATAACTTAAACCACAAAAGTATTTAGAACAATAAGATGGTGCTCAAAAGTATGCAACAGTTTTTTGTGAAAAGTATCTAGTTTCTCAATATCGTCTAATTAACTTTGAAGGCATAAATCTCTAACTGGATAGTTACAAAAAAAAAACCTTTGCTTTTCTACTAATATACCCAGCTTGATGCTACTGTTCATTTACTACTACTACTAGCTACTTCCATATTTGACTTCTATAGGTGCCTGATTACAGTGGGATTTCTGGAAGCTGTAAAGCGTATGCGCTTGCAAGAAAGGGCACCCTTACACAAATCCCAGCATGAAGGGAACGAGCTGGTGTTCCCCTGGCTTTGTGTGTTCTGGCGTTGGATCTATGGGCCTCGCGCGAGCTCAGCAAGCATTGGACAGCAACCAGCACTTGTGGGGTTGCTAAAGAAAGCAGAAAAGCTTTGTTCCAGAATGGAACTACTCGCCCTTTAGCAAGGTTCACATCGCGGCAATGATAGGTGTCCTAACTGGACATTGTTCCATTGGCAATCACGTGTTGAGGCTAAAGATTTTAAAGTACGCAACTTGTCAAAGCGCAACCTGCTTTCGGCAGATTAAGGTTGAAGCATCTCGGTTGCCATACTTTCTACGAATCTGGGGAATTGGCTGGAATTGATTTAAGTAGACTTTATAAATATGTGGCGCCTTCTCGATATGCGATGGTCCTTTTGATCCGTGCGTAGGAGTTCGGGGCATCACAACAGAAAGGCGTCTCTAACGCTCCAAGTGGGGTAATTTGTGGCCTTACGTATATCAACTTATTCACATAACCTAACCTACTAATATGCTCATAATCTCAATAGAAGAACTCACCTGTGTTGAAATAGATGTAGGTCCGTGCCCGGTTTGGGTAAACTGTGCGATCCAGTAGCGAGGCGTTCACGTATTGATTGACTGAGCTGTGTTGCGCCGGGTCCAGTTAAAGAAAAACTGCGATGTTGCGTGTTGGGAGGAAGTTCTGAAATTTGAACGAATTGCAGTTATCAAAATGGTTAAGTTTAAAACAAACAACAACAATTGTGTATAACATTGAAATATGATTTTCAAAAAATTAATATTTTAAAGCAAATCTTGCCAATTGACATGAAAATTATTTTTGATTGATCTCTTTTCATGTAATTTTCTTGAACTTCCATACGCAAACAAACTTATTTTGCACTCACTTGTCATATCGTTGGGCAACGTCTGAGTTCCACCGGAAACCTTGCGTCCCCCCGCACCTGTGGCGGTGCGCGGCACTGCTGAAACATGTGCTGTACGTCCAACGCCGCCACACATGCCACCCGGCGAGCCACCACCACCACCGCTATTTGGCTGACCACCGCCAGCGTTCATCAAGGCTGCGCCCATCATTGCGATGTTCTGTTGCTCCGCCGTTGCTGTGACACTCCCATTGGTACGCTTTACATAGCCAAAACTGGGCGGTACACCCTTAGTGCGACTCGATGGTGAACCTTGTTTGGAAGAGCTACCACTGCCACCGCCCATGCTGCGCCTTGATGGCGATGACTTCTCAGATTTTTCACCTTTATTGTGTCCATTCATTGGTTCTGGCATTTTCGTCCAGTTATCACGCCCACTTCGTGAGTTCGAGCGATGTACGCCCACCATACCGGCGGAATGGTGTTGCATGTGTTGCGCATGTTGAGCATGTGTGTGATGTTGTGGGCTTGCATTGGCGCTGGTGTTACCAGAACCACCACCGCCACCGCCGACACCGCCACCACTACCGCTATTGCTATCCATTTTAGGGTTCGAGCCACCGCTTGAGCTGGCCTGTGAGGCAGCCGACGAAGGAGGTGCGGTGCCGATGCTGTCGAGACTGCCACGGCTGTTGCGTATGCTAAGGGAGAAGAAGAAGAAAAATAAGTATTAATTAAAATCATTTAATTTAAAAATTTCTAAACCTTATTGATAGGTGGGAGTTAAAACAAATAAAGCCTATTTATATAATATTTTAATTTTTTAGCAATAAATAGAAAAAAGGTCGCTTTTTTGTGCTCTTTTCATGTCTACACTTCCGCTTCATATTGCAACTCATTTAATTTAACAAACTAGCTTAAACTTCTTATCAGCCCATTTGCAATTTTCATCACGCGACCGCTTGCTATTTTATTTGTATTTATTCAAACTCGCCAAAGTTGCTTGACTCTTCGCACAAATATTTGCATTTATATGAATTTGCATATGTGTGTGGCAAAGTGAGGTCAAAAGTTGCAGCCATTGCTATTTGCACTGCACTGTTTTGCATTTGCTGTAAGCAAATTCGCGAATTGCTGTAAGCAAACAACAGCTGCAATAGCGGCAAACAAAGAAAGTCAAACACCCTTGTTAGCATGTTAGTCAGTCTGTCCCTTTGTCGGGTTTTCACTATGCCCAGCACTCTCCACTGCCGCGATAGCACCCTTGTATGCTCTTTTGTTGCAACAAAGTGTAGGTTGCTTTGGTAGAATTTTCATTTGGCGCATATGCCTAGTGGCACAGTTTTAAACATTGCTGTCGCTCGCTTGTTGTTGCTTTTATTGTCATGACAACACAACCGGCTACAATGTGTCAAATATCGATTTAATTCCTTTGAGCGCGGAGTAATATGAAATGTATGATATTTGCGCTTGTAAGATTATAATTGATATGTAAACTGGCCAACTGCCTAGAAAACAATTTTTTTTCATTTCATTACATTAGGGGTGTCTGTGTTTTTAGATGAAAACAAGACAAAACGTTAACTTCAGTTGCACCGAAGCTATAATAGTCTTTGCAAGTAAAAAAGTTCCCACGCAAGAACTTGATTTGCAACGATCAGTTTGTATGGCAGTTATATTTTATGTAGGTCAAATCTGAGTAATATGCTCGGAGTGTACCATTGCTTATGAAAATAATACATGAAAAATTTCGTGAAGTTATCTCGTCAAATTAAAAAGTTCTCCATACAAGAACTTAATTGTGATCGACCAGTTTGTATGGCAACTATACGCTATAGGGGTTTAATCTGAAAAATTTGAAATATTTCTTAAAATATTGCGTACAACTTTAATAAAAGTACATCCCTTGTGAAATAATGTTATGCCTTAACTATTCTCCTCATTTCGTTCATTCTAAATTTTTATTGCTTAATTGGCATCAGCAAGCCAGCAAGTGCTTAATTCTTTTAGTCAGCCCAAGATGTCGCACTCGACATATTTATGAGCTTATTAAATATAATTTATTTCGTATGTTGACATACACATACATACATATGTATATATTTACATTACAAGTGTATAACAGTCTATGTACAAAACTGCTGGGCGAGCAATGAACTCTTGTCATGCAATCGCCAGTATTGTAGATATATCACACACAACAAGCAACAAAATTTAACAATAATTTTGTAAGAATTTTTTAAATGCAAGCTGCGAGATATACAAATATATATATATGATAAGTAATAGAGTAAAGATATGATCCAATAGCTTCCGCTTCAAGGAACTATCTTTTCAGACTTGGAAGAGAGACACTAATTTTTACAAAACTTAGACTGCCTATTTTGTGGCGTAAAAAGTGTAATTTAAGTACATGGCAACACTTTATCACCCATCTTGCGGCTAACTTGCTCATGTCAAGATATTTGGTCAATATTCAATAAACAACATTTGTTGAAACAGAACTTTCTGGTCATCTCACGTGGTTTTGCAGAATTTCTTATTATTTTCTGCAATAATGACACTCTACAACGGGGTTTGCCTTACCATGTTCTTGTGTTATGGGGTTATACAATATATAAAAAAATCGATTGTTTTTATATAAATGTACATAGGTATATTTAAGAATATTCTTCAAAAATTATAAAAAGCTGATCCCGTAAATAGTTTCGGAGATATAAGCGTATTTGTAAAAACTTTTTAATTTAGTGAAATCGGCTTTCAAAATTATTTTTCTCGAAAGCTTGCTTTCAGAGTCGATGGGGACAATTTCTCCGAAAAGGCTTTCCCGATTGGCTTGAACTTTTCACATTACCTTTTTAGATTAATTTGTTATATATACCACAAAAGTAAAACTCGGCTTTGATATCGGTTATGAATAAGTCGTTGAAATGTAAAATACTCTCCGTTAGTGTATGTATACCCAACCTCTGCCGTATACGATAAATAGTGATTTATAAGACTATTACTGCTTTAAATATGATCGAAAGCAATCGAAAAGGTAGTGAGTACTAATAATCATTACATAAAGCTTGAATTTTAAAATAAATTTGATAAACCCTGAGACTTTAATAGAAAGGATTTTAATGAAAAACTCTCGAAGGAGGTAAAAGTAATTGACTTATCCACAGGGCACTTCTGATTTATATAGATATGCGAAGCTTAATTATTTTGAAACAATATTGTTATAATTTATTTAGAAATCTAAGAAAAAAATCCAAAAATATCAACAAATTAAGTACTTTTTTTGCAATATAAATAATAATATAAAAGATTTAGAGATGGAAATTTTTGAAAATAAACAAATAACTCATATTTCCAACTTATTACAAGAATTGACAAACACCTCTATACTGAATCGATTTGCTCATTTCTTAATTTTCTCAGGTTGAAAGAAGAGCCGCTTCTAATACAATTTAACAAATCGATTAATGAATATTGCTCAGTGCCCTTTTGCAGTTGCATTTGCATTGATAAGAGCAAAAATTCCATTTCAATTGGTAATCAAATGAGCGCACAACTACACACACACACACACATTGCATACATCAAATTCATTCCACTGAATTCAAAGGGCACGCAAACACTTGCACAAAGAGATGCACATGAGAGCACATCGCCCAAAGAGCACATATGAGCGTGCATATAAACATGTGTATAGCGGCGCATAGAATGAATATGAAAGGCATTCAAATATAGTAGACTGTTTGAAAATGAAATTTTGCAGACACACAAAGCAAATATTGAATTGCAAAACAGATACGACTAACGATCGATAAAATTATATGAAAACATAAAAAAGATAGCTAAGAAGCTGACTTACAGACGGAAAGCACAAGAGAGCTTAGCAAACAACTGACTGATGGGTGGGTGGATCAATGTGAAGCCAACAGCAGTCAAGATGTGGCAACAACTCCGATGGCAGGCAGACGTAAAAATATTGAACCTTCAACGAAAATGCTGACTCGATGAAAAGGATGAAAGGCAGAATAAAGGCTGCCACAACAACAACAAATCTATTTGAAGTACTGCATAGAAAAGCACAATCGAGCACCAGCGATTCACCAGCGCCAAGGTTGAGAAATAACTGAAGTGTTGCGGTAAATGTAGAATTTTCGGGTTGCTGCAATACATAAATTTGTGGCAGACCACGGGAATGCTGCAGCAGAAACAGCTGCAACAAAGATAGTGGTATAAATTATTCAGTGGCAGGGAATACAGCGATAAGCGGCAAACATTACGGTTGAGTGGCGTAAAAACAAAGAAATTTCACAATTAGAAGATATCGAGTTGTGATGCGCAATGGTTGACTTGGTTGAATGGAGTGGGCTTAATCGCTGATATAAAGAATTAAATGAAAGGATGCTTAGTTAAGAACTATGCACTTTAGAGTTTAATTATCAATGCAAATAAAAATTATTGGAATAAGTAATTATTAAGAACCAAAGCGGTTTGTTTACTAATTATTATATTTAATAAACAAAAGAATGCTAATGCGTTATCCTCTACCCTTAATTATAAAAAAAATATATTTATATATTTATTGTGTCACAGCACTCCTTAATTTCCGCAATCTAAACGCTGCGCACGCCCTAATATAGCTTAATTTACACCTGTTAAAGACCGTAGAAATATGCCATAAAGCATGGTATACATTTTGGCGCTTTAAGCGCCCAGACTTGTTCCCCTTCTTCCGCAGAAATTGTGGCAAACACACCCTACAACAACAAAAACTATTTGCTACACACCTTCACAATTTATGAACAAGCGTACGAACCGCACATAACAACAACAGGGGACTATAACTAATATGCTTGCATATATTTAGGGTTAATTGAGCGTGATATATGAATTTGCCGCAGACATAGAAAAGCGCCGAGGCGTAAACCAGGAAACAGGGAACTGGGAATGGAAATAACATAAAGGTTTATGTGAAAAATGGAGGCAGTACAGGTATTTATGTAAAGCAAACCATAAAGTATACAAATAACCAGGTTTTTTATATAAGCTTAAGCGCCTAGATGCGCACAATGATGTAATATATGTAAATGCTTATACGGCTTTTCTGTAGGCATAATATTTTCTGTGGCGTATTTTTAGGTGTGACTAATCTATTACTTTGCCACTGATTTAATACATTTATTATTAGAGAAATGGCAACTTACTATAAACGACTTGTATACTCTTTAAAATTAGGTGAAGGCATTGAAGGTGATCCCAGCTGAGACTTATAACTAATGTATGGAAAATTGGATTAAGTGTCGGCATGATTATATTTGCGCAATTTTAAAAGCCATAATAAAGATTTGTATTAAAATACGTAAAAATGTAGTTTTTTGTCCATCCGGGTCAAATTTGATCAGATGGTAAGGTAAATAAATCGTGTATATTGATTAATATTTTCACCGTAGCCCTTTCAACAATCTACAGTTTTTAAAATTAAATAAAAAAAAACTTTCTGTTGAATTTCTATAAGTTTTAAATTGCGTTACTTATTCTACGTATAAAGTATATTTTTATAAATTTAGTATTAATTAAATTTAGTATGGAATGTCTACGACGCAGGATGTGCTCTCCTCACTACCATATTTAAAGCTACTAACACACAGCCAAGCAGCACTGTAGCACTTTCCTCCTACTACAGACACAACAAAAACCATTT